AAGGCCCAGGATCTTTGGAAGGCCCCTCAACGCCTGTTTGCACGACATGAGCCGAAAATCCGAAAGCCCTTAGAAAGGCCTTCAGCAGCCCTTAATAAGCCCTCCAGCCCTCAACCCTAAACCCTAAAACCTTAAAGCCCTAAACCCTAAACCCTAAACCCTAAGCCTAAACCCTAAACCCTAAACCCTAAGCCTAAACCCTAAACTCTTAAAGCCCTAAACTTAATCCCAACGAGCCCCCCCCCCCCGGGGCCTACAGTAGAGCCTGACTCGTTAACGAATGCATTGTCGAAGCCTTTGCTTCCACACCGCCCAGCGCTCACGAGAGCGGCCTCGGGCAAAGACTCAACACTAGCTTCTGAGCAGTTGCCACGCTGGCGACCCCACTGGACGGGCAAGCGCACGCTGGACTAGCGGGAGTCAAAAATGCAACATGCTGACATGCGACAAGCCCTGAGTCTGAAGAGTGGCTCTGCTGTGGCCCTAGCTGGCTCGCGTCAGGCAGGACGAAGCCATAACTGTCAGACCTGGGCTGCAACTACGGCTGCAAGGGCACCACACACCCAACAACATATCGACTTTTGCGAAAACGCCATGTAAGCGTACGGCTTCGTCGCACCACGGTTGACCGCGGCGTCTTCTTCCTCCTGCCTCCACTCCCCGTCCTGCGGGATGCCGGGCGGGAGCACTTGCAAGGTCGCAAAGGTGAGCAAAGGCTGCAACTCACGGGGGCCTCCTTGCTGAAAATCAAGATTTGATAGGCATCGCAAGCAATGCTGCTTGGATTCTCATGTTTGATGGCCTTTGCAACGTCGCGGTTTGCCATCACAGAACACAGCAACAGACACACTCAGCTCTGGACCTTCTTCAAATCGTCTACCTCGGGATGCAGCACTCAGACCCTCGCAAGTCCCTGCAACAAACTGCGAACACACCAAGCTTGGGCCATCGACATCTGTCACGGGCACTGTGATCTTGAAGGCCGGGAGGCTTTCGTTGACGGTTTGGCCAGCCTGCGGGGCTGCAGGGCCAGACGCTGCGCGTGCAGGGTCCACTGCCGCAAGGCTTCCCTTCGTTTCCCGCAACTCTGGTGGCAGTCCTTGTGCATCCGCCTGACCCATACTGTTTTGGTCTGGGCCTGCTTGGTGCCTGGGGGTCAGAACAAGACTCACAAAGCCAGGAAGGGTGTTGAACATCAACTGAGCGAGGCGCAGAGCACCAGCTCTTGACAGCATCAACAGGAAACCACCAAAATTTGAGATAGTGCATTCAACAACTAGAGCTGTTAATATCTAAGTCGAGTCACCCTCCGCCAGCATAAGCTCCAACTCATCGTGGCGAGATCTGGAAAGTACCCTATGCAGTGAAAAAAGCGCTGACTGGCGAGTTTCCTTATCCCCACTCCATCTCATCACATGGTTCTGCACAGCCACATTGTATACACGAAGATTCATCTTCAAAACTGCAGTGTCGTTGCCGTTAAAATCAAGCTCGGGAATCGATGGAAAACCCGGAATGCGGGCATGAGCTGCTTCTTGGATCTTCCTGATGGTTTCTCGCATCTTTCTCACAAATTCGCCAAGAACCTGCGGTCTTGGGGAGTGTGTCCTCGATGAGGCGCCTCCAAAATCATGCCAATAAAATGTCCGATCGTCTTGGCTGGGCTCCATGTGCATCAACAAACTGCCGATGTGACAGTCATGCCACAGGTTCGCGTGTGCAAATGCTGAAATGTCTGCCACAAAACCAACCAAGAAACGCACCAACTCTAGCGGAGACAGAACTCCAAGGTCCACTGGTGTGACCTTTTGAAAAACTGAGACATGTGCGGTGTATGGCCCAGAGAGTGGCTCAACTTTGAGGAATTTAGTACCCTGCGCGCGATAAACTGGCACTGACACGTGTGTCCTGACGCAAAATTCGCACTCAGCACCAGGTGCCGCAACTGCAAATACCAGCCGGATGTGCCACAATGCCTCTTCTCGCCAACGCTGTTCCATATTCTGCTCACGACTCGGGATCCAACGCCGGAGCGGCCGCGTGCTTGATTCCAATCCAAAATAAAGGGCTCGAAGCACAAACATGTCCTCTGGCTCTTCACTGTTTAGTCCTGTAAGTGCCCTAACAACATCTTCAGTCGCAGAGACCATTGCGTCGCTGCCATTGTCCCAAAGAGATGGGAGCTCCAAGCTTACACGAACCACTATTTGATGAAATAGGCAGTTGGCAACAGCGATGGTACTGCCACCACCTGCTGCACCAGAACCAGTAAACTCACACTGGAAGTATGCCTCAAGGGTTTGACACGTACCTGGTCTGCAATCGGCACGCCCACACACGCCGAAGACAACGGCCACAGCCACAAGCTCCGGTCTTGACATGCGGTACCATCCCATGGTCTCTGCTGACGAGTCTGTGTCACACTTGAAACCGAACAACCCTCCACAACACCTTAGACTTGCCATCGCATTAATGGTAGTAGTTATGTATGAGATCAGCTTGATAGTCTTGCATAGCACTTGAAATTTAAGCGTGGCGTTTATCATATGTGCTGGCAGTGCTTTGTCAGCTGTTGTGCTCGCAAGTTTTCCTCATGCAGTTCGTATTTTGTTGCTGTCTGTGTTGTGACTTAACATTCCTTGTTTTGTTGAAAGCGCGCGTATGGAAGTTGTGTGCTTGATTGCGTGTGATTGTACGGTATTTACATGTATTTTGTGTCTTGGAATGTCTCTCTTGCAATGTTTGAGCAACGGTCACAGTGAGACAATCAGGAAGTCTTGCGGCAGCTGGCCACTGCCGGTCACCTGCCGGTCATTCGGATGCCCACTCCTCACAGATACCCATGTGACCAGAACGTGGGGTAAGCTTGACCTTCCGGGCATCCGACTGGAAAAAAAGTAGAGCAACAAATGGCAGGAGCTCGCAAACCAAACTCAAATAAGCTTTGCCAGAAGAAAAAAAACATAAATAGAAATCACGAAATGATGAACAATTGTTACCCTCTATTTTCGAATTGTTGACTTCACAAAACTGTAGAGAGCTCATCTTAATAGAAATCCTTCCAGAGAACGAAGGCAATGCAATGTTTTAAAGACTTGCAGAATGATCTTCTGACGTTTTTCCCAGTTTCCAGGACCCATTTTTGAAAGGGTGGAAAGTGTTGCGTTTAAGGCAGCCTGGGTCAGAGATCAGAAAGATGATCTGCAAACCACATGAGACTGCACAAAAGCGGTTGTAAAAGCTCTCAACCCTTCAGATTTCAGAGATTGCGTTTCCAATATTGCAATTTGACATTCTTTCAATTAAATCCCGGTTAGAAATAGCATTGAAGGAATAAAGGGTGGGTTCGAAAAGCTACGCAAGCCAGAATTCTGCTGTCGCCCACATTGCGGATTTTCCGCACCCACACGTCAAGCACTTGAAGCCGTTGAGCTGCGTTGCCTTTCATTTTTTCCTTCAAATTAATTACACTCGGCAGAGCCAGTTTTGCAGAGTGGCAAAAATGGTTCATAAGTCTCCTCCTGGCTGTATATGAAATCGAGACTTTAAAACAATTTTATTTGATCAAAAACGGACGCC